CCCAAGTAGCTGGGACCACAGGCGCCTGCCACAATGCCTGGCCATTTTTTGGTTGCAGCCATCATTGTTGTTTGGCGGGCCCGGGCTGGGGATTCGAACCTACCACATTAGGTGTATGTGGCTGGCGCCTTAGCCGCTTGAGCCACAGGTGCCCAGCCGAGACCCTGTTTCTAAAAATAGCCAGGTGTTGTGGCAGATGCCTATAGTCCCAGCTACTCAGGAGGCTAAGGCAAGAGAATAACTTGATCCCAAGGGTTTGAGGTTGCTCTGAGCAATGAGCACAGCACTCTACCCAGGGTGATAAAGTGAGACTGTCTCCAAAAAAAAGAGAGAGAGAGAGAATTCAAAAGACTATGTTAAAACCATTATCTATAATCCACCCACAACCATATTCAAATTATTATATGTAGTTCCACATACTGAGAGTCACCATATGCCTTGAGAATCTCTCGATCCAGGTAGTTACTGTTGTTGACCACGTCAGACTGCCTCTTAGCTTTAGGTACAGCCTCTTGTTGTTTGAGTAAGGAGTCAAGAAGTGGAAGATCTATAAGTTGTAGTAGACGCCCAATTGTTTCTTCTTGCCATACTTCATTAATAACTACCCAGAAAAAAACAATGTGAAAAGCAGTAATTAATAGTTACTAAATGCTCACCACAGTATTTGTCCAGGTATTTGTCTAAGCTAATACATTTGTACCCCTCCCCAGAAACATTCAACCTTATGGAGTGCTTTCTTCTAGCAATAGAAAACAATCCAAGATTTGTTTAGAGTGTAGGAGAACAGACTTTGGACAAAAGGAATTCTTTTCATTCTTCGTACTGTAAAAGCAATCTGTCACAGATAAGAGATCAAGTCATATAACATGTTAATAAGGCTCTGGAAGAAAGAATGACTCATTCAACCTAAAAACTGGTTTGAAACTACTGACTGCAGATTATTCCACTCAGGGTTTCCATGAGACTGGGATGGGGAAGGACGGTGGTAATCAAAGTCATTAAACTACATTCCATTCCCAAAGATAAGGAAAAACATAAGAATTCTGTTAATGTTTTAATGTGACTTTCAAGTTTTATTTGACCTTAATACAACCTCAGGGAAAGAAATATCTGAGAGCATATTTTAAATAAAAATGTGCATGTAAAACATCTCAGATTTGAACTTCCGCCAGCTAATAGGACAAAAGTCAGTGTTCAAGAGTTATAACACTGAACTATTTGTTAAAGATAATAGACTTCTGTTAAAATTAAATATAAATAGCTTTAATACACAGTGTACTGCTTTTCTGTGTTTAGATTTTTAAATTCTAATAAACGTTAAGATAAAAAAAACTTTTAAATAACTGTGTTTGGTCTATTTCATACTTTGCATCACACCTTTAGCTTACCTTGGGGAGATAAGGTTGCAGAGGTATCATGAGGGGAGTTGGCAGGCTTTAAACTCAGATTTTCCCACAGGTCCTCTAAACTGGCTGATTTGATATCAGGTGACATAGATAATGCATCTGCATATCTAAAATAAATTTATTTCATAAATTAATGTTTCTTAAGCCCACAGAAATATTTTTGTATTTGAGAGCAAAAACATGAGAATTCCAAGCTCTACGAGTGGAATGAAATATAAAAAACACTTCATGGGCAGTGCCTGTGGCTCAGTGGGTAGGGTGCCAGCCCCATATACTGAGGGTGGTAGGTTCGAACCCAGCCCCAGCCAAACTGCAACAAAAAAATAGCTGGGTGTTGTGGCAAGCGCCTGTAGTCCCAGCTACTCGGGAGGCTGAGGCAAGAGAATCAGCTAAGTCCAAGAGCTGGAGGTTGCTGTGAGTTGTGACACCATAGCACTCTACCAAAGGCGACAAAGTGAGATTCTGTCTCAAAAAAAAAAAAAATAATAATAATAATAAAGTGCTGGTAGAGGCCGGGCGCAGTGGCTCATAGCAGTACACCTAGCACTTGGGATGCTGAGGTGAGTGGACTGCCTGAGCTCACATGTTTGAGACCAGCCTGACCCAGGGTGAGACCTCATCTCTAAAAATAGCCAGGTGTTGTGGCAGGCACCTGTAGTCCCAGTTACTTGGGAGGCTGAGGCAAGAGAATCGCTTAAGCCCAAGAGTTAGAGGTTGTTGTGAGCTGTGATGCTATGGCACTTTATCAAGTGAGGGCGACCAAGTGAGACTCGGTCTCAAAAAAATAAAAATAAAAATAAATAAAGTGCTGGTGGTGTCCTACCTTACCCTTATATTTCCTTCCTATATAGAGAGGTACGTTTTATATTTTAGATACAGAGTTAAAAGGTATTTGAAAGTCAGTACATTAAAATGCTAACATTAGGTCAGATCTGAACTATAAGAGCTTTATTTACACCTCTGTGACACCAGTGCACAGTTTAGCTGAGGGTAACAAAAAGGCAAAATTGCTTTATTTCATGACAAATAACTCAGTTTGTGATGTACTCATCACCCACATGCATCCAGCCACTGCCTCTCCAGTCTTGCTTTAAACGATCCTCTCTTCTCCCCCACTGCTGCTCAGTTCAGCCCTCATCTTCGTAGCCTACAATATTGCAATAGATTCCTAACTAGCTCTCCCCGATAGGCTGCCAACAGCTAACCAGGATGTAGCTACCTTTCTAAAAAAGTGTCATCATACTTAAAATATTTCCGTGGTCTTCCCAACAACTGTATGATCAAGTCCAAACTCTGCCTCCCACATGCCTTTTACACTTCACATCTGCCACTTCCTGTATTCTAATGATACCCTAACAACCTGGATTTCTCCCCATCTGCTTTCACCTTCACTCTGTTCTCACGCTACCGGTTACATAAATTCTCTTAACATGTTTTACACCATAACTTGAAAAAGAAAAATCAGTTTGTTAATCCATCACATTTTTAGCAGAAACAAGAAGGCTAGGAAACACCCACTAAAGTTAAAAAAAATTTCACTATAGGGCATCTATTGTCCCAGCTACTTGGGAGGCTACGGCAAGAGAAACGCTTAAGCCCAAGAATATGAGGTTGCTGTTAGCTATGACACCATGGCACTCTACCGAGGGCAACAAAGTGAGATTCTGTCTCAAAAAAAAAAAAAAATTCACTATACTTTATCAAATTCACTCACAGACTTAGATTTTAGCCACTTATACTGCTTAAAAAATATAAAGCCAGGGCCAGGTACAGTGCCTCCCACCTGTATCCTAGCACTTTGGGAGGCTGAGGCAGGAGGATCATCAGGAGTTCAAGACCAGCCTAAGAAACACAGCAAGACTATCTCTACGAAAATTTAAAAATTAGCCAGGTGCGGTGGTGCATGCCTGTAGTCCCAACTACTCAGGAGCCTGAGGAGGGACATTATGACTTGAGCCAAGGCATATGAGGTTGCATTGAGCTACTGAGTGATGCCCCTGCACTCTAGCCCAGGCACCAGAGTGGACTCTGCCTCAAAAAACAAAACAACACACACGTACACATACACACACACACTTGCGTGCACCAAAAACACATATACACATTTTAAGAGATCTTACTGGAAGTAAAATTGATTGTTCCCCAAAAATATACAAATTGTCAGTAAAATGGGTATGTGTAGCATGTCTAGGTACACTTGACCAGTAATAGGACCTTCAGTTCAACTTTGAAAATACATATACAGGCTCGGCGCCTATAGCTCAACCGGCTAAGGCGCCAGCCACGTACACCTAAGGTGGCGGGTTCGAATCCCCAGCCTGGACCCGCCAAACAACAATGACGGCTGCAACCAAAAAATAGCCAGGCGTTGTGGCGGGCGCCTGTGGTCCCAGCTACTTGGGAGGCGGAGGCAGGAGACTTGCTTGAGCCCAGGAGTTGGAGGTTGCTGTGAGCTGTAATGCCATGACACTCTACCCAGGGGGACAGCTTGAGGCTCTGTCTCAAAAAAAAAAAAAAAAAAAAATACATATACAACATCTCTTAAAACAAGTATACATTTTTTGGCACCCTCTGTGTGTGTGTGTGTGTGTATGTATAAAACCAGTCAGCATCCCATAAAAAAGTAGACAAAGTCCCACCAATATACCCATGATGATGTAACATTACGTACTAACCTGGAAGGTGAACATAGTCTGTTCTCTTCGCCTAACTGACTGTTTTGATTAGGCATCGTTGTGAATCTGTAAAAGCTATAACTACTATCTTCAAATGTAGGTTTTTTGTCTTTTCCAAAGACTTTGGTTGGAACTGGTTCAAATACTTTGTAATCCATAAGTGCCTGACACACTCTCACCACTTTGGCTCGAGGAATATCCACATCACCAAAATACTTATTCTGAATTAAGTGAGAAAAAATGACATCCACAGCTTCGGAACCAACAAAGCAGTCATCGTGTCGTTTTAAATGGTGCCTTCGTTTTTTCACTTCCACTTGTGTTTGAAGAGTGTTTATAATGCTACTCCATACATATGTGGCTCCAAAGGGCTTCTGGGCCACACTGAAACCTAGGAGAAAAATCACAGAGAAACTGAGACTTAGTACCTTGTCATTTGTGATAAAGTCTAAGCAATCCTTAGGCAAAAAGCGGTAATTTCCAAAAGTTATTGATAAGGAACAATTATAAGGGCAGCTTAGTGAAATATTGTTATTAGTAGCTATACACTAAAAAAAAAATAGAGCCTACTATGTGCTAACCACTTGTCTATGTGCTATGATACAAGAGAAAGCAAAATTAAGTCCCTGTTCTCACAAACTTAAGACTTTGTGGGAAGATACAGATGATATGGTCAGACACAGTGGCTCACATTTGTCATCCTAGCACTCGGGGAGGCTGAGGTATGTAGATTGATTGAGCTTATGAGTTTGAGACAAACCTGAGCAAAAGCAAGACCCCATCTCTACTAAAAATAGAAGAAAAAAAAAAAAGAAAGAAAGAAAAAAACTGAGGCAAGAGGATCACTTGACCCTAAGAGATGGAGGTTGCTGTGAGTTATGATGCCATGGCACTCTACCCAGGGTGACAGCTGAAGACTCTGTCTCAAAAAAAAAAAAAAAAATACAGACGCTACATATGTGTTAGATCACTGTTAATAAGAAATAAAGCCAGGTAAGGAAAAAAATACTATTTTTAATGAGATGTCAGGAAAAACCAGTCTGATAAGGTTGTATCTGAGCAGAACTTAAATAAAACCAGGAAGCAAGCTGTGCAGGTATCTGGGGAAAGAGCCGGGAGAACAGAAAGAGCCAAGGCTCGGCTTGGCACCTGTAGTTCAGTGGTTAGGGCACCGGTCACATATACCAGGGCTAGTGGGTTCGAACCAGGCCCAGGCCTGCTAAACAACAACAACTGCAATAAAAAAAATAGCTGGGTATGGTGGTGGGCATCTGTAGCTACTTGGGAGGCTGAGGCAAGAGAATTGCTGAAGCCCAAGAGTTTGAGGTTGCTGTGAGCTCTGACGCCAAGGCACTCTACCCAGGGCAACATAGTGAGACTCCGTTTCAAAAAAAAAACGAAAGAAAAGAAAGAAAAAGCCAAGGCCCGGGGGTGGGATTGTGCTCTGCTGGAACAGGAAGGAGGCCAGCGTGGCCAAGGTCCTATGAGATGGGAGAAAAGAGCAAGAAGTTAGAGCAAAGGGGGAGAAGAGCTGGGGTTTGAGCCTGGGCATCCAGGACCACAGAACAGGTAGGCAGTTACCAGTTATGTGCAAGGAACTCTAAAGTGCCTTATATAAATCATCTCGTCTTCAATAGCAACTTTCCTATGAGGTAGTATCATCTCTCTTTGAGAGATGCAAAAGATTCACAGAGATTACATGTAACTTCCAGATGTTGTATGGAAAGAGGCAGTGCTGGGATTTGGCTCATGTTCTGTATGACTGTGGAACACTTATCAGTCATACATGTGCACAGTCACATGCCACAAAATGACATTTCGGTCAATGACAGACCACATGCACATATCTGACCACATGCACATAAGCTGGCAATTCCTACCCTATCTATCCTTGTATCTTTAGATACATTTACATACGCAAATACCTGCCATTGTATTACACCTGCCAACGGTATTCAGTATGGTAACATGCTGTACAGGTTTGTGGCCTGGGAGCAATAGGCTTAGCTGCTATACCATGTAGCCTAGGGGCTGGAGTAGGCAGTACCATCTAGGTTTGTTAGCACAATGACAAAATCACCTGACAACACATTCCACAGAACGTGTCCCCACCATTAAGCCACACATGACTGTATACAGACAGGCACACATACTGGCTGGGAATAAACCTGTATTTTCAAAGCTTCCTATCATGCAGGCTTATGAGCTAACTACTTTATGAGCAAAATAACAATTTGGTTCCCATTCATTAGGACCCCTGACCTACTCCAGAGACACTGTGGGCACAGAAAAATTTTAGCTAAACACCAAAAAAGGGACATTGTGAGACTCTGTCTCAAAAAAAAAAAAAAAAAAAAAGGAAACAAGCTTTCAAAAAGTTCCTATCATATTTTTCCTCACTGTAATAAACTGATATTTGGCAGTCAAAAGGAAAGAAAATAGGCCTTGGGTTTTGTTACACTGATGGAACTGAGCCTAGTTAACCATCTGCTTGGTGGCTGTCTCGCTCCCTTTTTCTCTTTTCATAGAGACTGTGCCCTTTTATGTGTTAAACTTTTCACTGATCCTCTGAAAATTCAGTAGTCCTAATTTAAGCCCTCATTTTAAAAATAAAGGAAGTGTATTACTTCCTTTATTTTAAGGATATTTTGGCAGAGAAGTTGAAAAATTATCACTTCCTTTATGTTCTCTAAAAAGGAAAACAACACACATCAGCACAACAGTAAAGGACCAGGGGAATTATAATTAAAGAAAGGGCTACTTGGAAACACATCCTACATTTTTAGCCAAAATAGAACATGTAACATGAAAACATAATATATAAGACGTGCACTGAACCACCACATTGTATTCCCTTAGCATAATTTTGCAGCTACTAGCAATTTTTTTTTTCTTTTTTTGGCCGGGGCTGGGTTTGAACCTGTCACCTCTGGCATATGGGGCTGGCACCCTACTCCTTTGAGCCACAGGTGCCACCCAGCTACTAGCAATTTTGACATCTTTACTATAAAAAATAAACAGCACACATACAAAGACCTTTTTACTGTTTATGTGTTTCCCATACCAAAAGTAGAAGAATAACTTACCTTCTACCCATTATTATGTTAGTTTAAAATGATCAGGAAGATTGATTTTATGGCCTGACTGAGTTTTAAAACAGATATTTTATAAGGTAGTACTAAAAAAGGAAGTAATTGTTGCCAGCCTTCCAAATATTCTAAAGATCACGTGAGCAGTCTCAAGAATTAAATTATGGAGAATCAAGTAGATAAATCAAGCTGGAACTAGATTTAAAATCTAAATTTACTAATCTAAAAATATGATAGGAAATTAGTAGATTTACAACTGGTAAATCTCTATTTCGTCTCTATTCAATGGAGCCAGAATCAGGAATTTGATGGAATCTCAAAATAAATCCAGGACCTTCCTGGTATTCAGAATTCAGGAGTAGTTGTACTATGAGTATTAGCAGCTAATACTCTTCCTGAAACACCAGAGATTATAAATGAGATATAAGTGAATTTAATGCCAGCTGTTTAATTTTTTCCAAGTTTTTATTCTTAGTAATAGCTAACAATTGAGTACCTACACTAGGTGAGGCTCTATCTTCTCATCTAATCTCAATAAACTTTGAAATAGTTATTAGTAATCCCATTTTGAGGAAACTAAAGTTCAGTGAGTTAAACTTGCCCTCAGTTACATGGCTAATAACTATGAGTTTTTCCTAGTACTTAAATATGAATACAGTAGAAGCTCTGTAAGCTAGTCACCCAAGAGACTGCAACAAACTGGTCAACATACAGAAGTGGGCAACAGAAGGAACTAGGCCTACTGTACTGACTGATATGTACATGTGGAACACATCCAGTCTACGAAAAGTAGGTCAACTTAAGGAGGTGGTCAGTGTAGAGAGGTGGTCGATTATGGAGGTTCTACTGTATATCAAAAATCAGCCACCAGATAAGTAGTTTTAGCATTAACCTTTCATTGGAGACCTGGATTACGTGAAACAGCTTTAAAAGAGCCAATGAGAAGAAACAAATGAACTCGTAAGATTTGTGAACACTTAACCAACCTATCTAAAAACAGAAGTCACTACTCCTCAAATAAGATAGGGTATCTTAAATTCTATAATAAATACTAGTCACAGTACACAGGAGTAAGACATGAAGGAACACAAGCAAGATTTAAATTTGCAGAGATAAAGCTGGGTACAGGGGTCATGCCTGTAATTCTAGCACTCTGGGAGGCCAGGGCAGGTGGATAGCTTGAGCTCAGGAGTTAGGAGATCAGCCTGAGCAAGAGCAAGACCCAATCTCTACCAAAAAGATAACAAAAATTAGCTGGGTATTGTGGCAGGCACCTGAGGATGAGGCAAGAAGATAGTTTAAGCCCAGGAGTTGGAGGTTGCTGTGAGCTATGATAATGCCACAGCATTCTACCTAGGGTGACAAAGTAAGACTGTCTCAAAAATATTTAAAAAATAAAAAATAAATAAACTTGCAGAGATCGGACTATATTTTAAGTACCACTAAAACAGATTTATAGGCTAGTGAGAATATTAAAGACAAAACACTTAACTCTTGAGCTGTAAGGTGGTTAGCTTGGCCAGGTCATTTATTGAGATGGATAGAAAACTGAAGGCGGGGAGAGGGAGGGAATATACAGCCTCAGCAAAGTAGGAAAGGCTAATCTTCACAGGGGAATTCAGAGGGAAAGAATAAAGGCCCCGTATTAATTTGCTGCTTAAATGTGGGAAATCAGGATGTTTTGCAGGTTGGATAACACTGTATAAAAGATTAAAGAACAGGTTAGAGCAGGATAGCAGGCACCTGTGAGCCATACCATGTTTCCAGAGTCCTCCAGACAGGATACAATCCAGCACTTTCAGGTCCCCTCTGATCTCACTGACCATTAATTCCCAGTCATTGTATCATGGGATATTTCCCCTCAAGCATCACCACCCACAGACCCAAACTACCAAACTACTATCATGTTCATACAGATACTTTAATACATAAAGTACCCCGGACTTAACAAGTCAATGTGCCAAAACCCACATCAGGATAACATGGTTTTTTTTTTAATGCTGACTTAACCAGTTGAACATATATCCACCACGGGCTGATTTGAGACTTATTTATTCATCACCTAAAAGCTGAAATGAAGGCTGGTATAGCAAATTATAGCCCAGAAAGATGATTTTACTGTAATTTCTGTGCAGAATTCAAGAGAACAGAAGAATACAATGAATGCTTTGTAAGTTTAGAAATCAGAATTAAAGCTTCAGTTTGTCCTCAAACCTCACTTGCATTATGAGTTGAACAACTCTTTAAAATTTATCATTCTCTACATCATGTAACTGCTTCCTTATTTACGTTTGGTCAAGCA